TAACAGAAGACCCGGTTTCGATTCGACATGGGTACATTGTGTGAAGCCCATTTCTGATGTCCCCTACCGTGATATTGCTGGAATATTGCTAAAAGCGACTCACTCACTCACTCACTCACTCACTCACTCACTCACTCACTCACTCACTCACTCAAAGCATGTTAAACCCAACTCGCACAAGTCACAACATATTGTTTGAGAAAAGCTAATAACTCCTTTTTGTTTAATCATAACTGGTAATGGCAACTTTGATGGGTTTTTTTCTTCAGTAAAGTCCTAAGGAACGTACTCACGCCATGAAACCCTCTTATGCCCGTTGGTATGGTGGAATCACTGCAAATGCTTGACTGGTTGTTTTACCACCTTAAACATCTCACCTTCAGAAGTTCTTTCAAATATGTCCTTCTGATCCTCACAGGAAGTACTTGAAGGCTTCCCTGGTCTGTCCGTGGATTTTATCAATTGAAAACATTTCTGTTTCATTCTTTTCATAAGTAGCATGGGGTACATGTTTCAAGATATGGAGACCTTTTGTGTTCCTCCCACCAAGTCAACTTCAGCCTCACTCAAGATGATGTCATGGATGGGTGAATCTAAATCATGAAAGCTGATATTGAAATGCTGTCCTGATCTTTTGATGTGTGAGACTTTATTCTTTGTTCTCCAAATAGTCTGAACTGAAAGAAAAATCTATTTCTTAGTTTGATATTGAGTCCTGTTTGATCTGTGGGATGTTGGATTGCTATTTAACAGGCCAAGATTTATTTCAGGTAATTTATTTGAAATTCTGTGATGCAGGTCCTGTTGACATGGTTTTAAATATGTCAATTTAAACAAAATTCATTCACTAATCTCTCGGTGCTGTTTGAGGAGATTTAGAACAAATATCTATTGGGGTAAAGTCAAATATTGAAAAATCAATATGGCCGCCAAAATGGCCACTTGTTGTTCATAAGCAGACAACCATTATGACCTATGATTACATTTGGCAGAATATTGTTATTCCTTAAATCAATTATTGCTTTGCTGAAAGAACTGATTTTTTACGCACAAATTTATCAATAGAAAAACTGATCCAAACCATACTAATTCATCATAACAGTTGGCTGGAGTTTTAAGTAACAAGATGTCACATGTTATAAAATCAATATTTACAAAATAGTGTTAGATATACCAGTTTATAAGATTTATAAATAGACAAACTAATGATGTGTCCGGATCCAAGCAGGTTGCCTGATCTTCTAAAATGGTTTTGCTGGTCGTTGCATGATGCTTATACGGTGTAAGATCTATGCCTAATAAGGGAAATTGCTGTCTGACCTTCTTGGTGTGAGATATTTCGTAATCTTCTTTGTGCTGTCTACTGAGAAATGAGGGAGTCTACTTGCTCTGTCCTCTGCTTTCTTAACAAGCAAAACCTACCAACATAACATACAAACATTTGACATTCATTTACCATTTATTTGATTTTGAATCGATCCCTTGTAGAATCTGTCAAACCTTTTCACTCATTTTATAAGCCAAACTGAAATGAAAGTTCATATGAACTTACTTTGTCATGGTGCATTTTCATCTGTCTGTCCATCCATCCATCCATCCATCCATCCATCCATCCATCCATCCATCCACAAAGATTCAATCCAATGTTAAACATGGATACTACATCCCCATGAAAATCTGGGTTAGAATGAGTCTTCAGCAAACCATGCTCATCATAAGAGGCGACTAACTGAATCAGGTGGTCATGTTCTCTGACTTGGTTGATGCATGTCATTGTATCCCAGTTGCATAGATCGATGCTCATGATGTCACTCACTGGATTGTCTGCTGTCGTTTTCCTGGAATATTGCCGAGAAAGGCCTTCAGCAACAAAAACAAAACATGGATGCCACATACAACAGCCATATTGAAAATGCAGTCTTGACATTTGATTAATTGAAGATATCTCATTGAAGAACTACCATAATTATTTCAAATACATAACCTCTATTACATCACAACCATAAATCCTGAATGCTCAGAACGTGACAAACCAAGCCACCAGTGTTTTATACTGTAAACAATATATCGTGTCCTTTACACATAGAACATTTGAGAATTGTCACCAAAGAAATGCACTGCAAGTCTCAAGGAGAATAATAAATCTTGTTTGAATCATTGAAACCAATTCAAATGCAGCATTCACATTAGATTTGTCTGATATTTCTAGTTTGATAAGAAAATGCAATCAACGTTTGGACTCCCCTGTTAGATTTTCTTCTACCAGTTGGATTAAAACAAGGAAATACCCTTCGAAAATTATCATATAAAGCTTCACGAGTACTGTATTTTTTATACAGTGGTCACCTTGGGATCCCTATTTCCTCCCTAGGACCCCCAAATCATTAACCCGCAAAGATCTGGGGTAGAATAAGTCTTCAGCAACCCAGACTTGCCATAAAAGGCGACTATGCTAGTCGTAAGGGGACTAACGGAACCTGGTAGTCAGGCTCGCTGACTTGGTTGATGCATGTCATCGATCCCAATTGCGTGGATCGATGTTCGTGATATAAATCACTGGATTGTCTGGTCCAGGCTCGATTATTTACAGACCACTGTCGTAAAGCTGGAATATTTCTGAGTGCGGCGTTAAACAACAAACCAACCAACCAGCCCAAATCATTACTGAAAGTCCCCAAAACTCACAACTAGAAATTCCATGTCATCCACATATCTGATGCTGTTTCACATATGACAACTCGACATTTGAGAGGGAATCTGGTCTATTTCATACAGGCATTCCGGCAGCCTAGCGGTTAAAGCTTTCACTCATCATGCCGCAGACCCGGGTTTGATTCCTGACATGGGTACAATGTGTGAAGCCCATTTGTGGTGTCCCCCGCTGTGATATTGCTGGAATATTGCTAAAAGCGGCATAAAACCATACTCACTCACGCTATTTCATACTGTCAACTGGAGGTCAGCATCTGGTTTACTTGGACTGTGTACTTACTTTTAGTAACTTTAAATGACGCTGAACATGTGGCATGTAATGGACAGGTAGCACGTTGTCCTGTGCACAGTGCACAGGCCACAAATCAGGTGCGCTAAATCAACGTCGGTCTCAGAGATGGGTGACCACGTTATGCAGCTTGAGTCCTGAGAGTTTCTAGGGATTCAGTCCTGCCCCACACTGAAGCACATGTACCACATGTGGTGTCTCCTTAGGCAAGTGACTTTGTTCGAAATGTGCCTCTGTTCACCCAGCAGTGAGTGGGTACCCGGTAGGATGAGATGGTAATGTGGCTGTTAACCTTCTAGCGCCTCACAGGCAGCTTGGGTTGTATACTCCTCATGGAGCTGAGAATGAAAATTGAGTGCTCACTGATCCATTGAACGGGGTAATAATCGTGAAGCGCTGTCAGCATCCACTTGGTGAATGGAATCTGCATGCCGCGTTATAAATGGATTTATTATTATCATTATTATTATGGCAACATGGGATACTATTTGTATTCCACCTTCAAGCAGCCATCTTCAAGCAGCCAATCACACCCTTTCACATCCCACTCAGAGTATTCCTATCAAATGTTTTGAGTAGTGTATCACAATTCTCTGATCACATGAAGCTGACTTTTTGTAATAGATCTCAAGTGACTGAGGTTTTCTCAAGTTATTTGGCCAGCAAAAAAACGTGCCTGACTGTGAATGATGGATCATGTATCCACCAATGTCAGCTTGTCCTGTAAGCCTGGGAATCAGATGATATTTCATATGCCCTCAAAGATCATCTGTGATTGGGCAGGAGAATCAGATGTGGAATGTGATTAAGGAAGTAGGTGTTTGCATGTTGTCTGATAGATCAGTTTGTACCCAACCTGGGACTGCTTCATAGAGGTAATCAAGGGAATATCAACCCAGTTTGAGGGCACTCCTAATTAAGAAACCTTTTTGCATGTTTTTTTCTAGCTGCTAATCTTCTGATGTGACATTACGAACAATTTACTGGCACATTCTCACTAATCTGTTTATATGCTCAAACTGCTTATTTTTGTCCAGAACAACAAAAAGTTTTGTTGGAAACCTTTGGAAATGAAGAATAGAGAGAAAAGACTGGCATATTTATGTGTGCTGAAGATTAGATGTTTGATTCATTGGAACAGATGCTTGTATCTTGTTACTTGGAACACAATGTGGTACATGTCCTTTGTTTTAAGAACCTTATTGGAGTGTAAGTAAGGATTTGTTTTGCCAGTCAGCCAGACATCTTTGTGATGAATGTCGCTTATATCAACGTGGGTTGATAAATCTATTTACACTCTGTAAGTAATTGTCAGGTTTTAGAGACCAGGCCAAATGTCTAGATGCATAAATGACAACAAGTTTGTAGAAAGTCATTGAAAATGGTTCATGATCATAATAATTCTTCAATATGTTAAATAGGAATAGCTAACATGCAATAATAGTATCAAGGCTCTCCACCCACCTATCTCAGGCCTCTCCATGTCTTTCCATGTCTCTCCATGTCTTTCCATGTCTCTCCATGTCTTTCTGTCTCTCCATGTCTTTCTGTCTCTCCATATATTTCCATGTCTCTCTATGCCTCTCCACCCATATGTTTCCATGTCTCTCCATATATTTCCATGTCTCTCCATGTCTTTCTGTCTCTCTATATATTGCCATGTCTCTCTATGCCTCTCCACCCATATGTTTCCATGTCTCTCCATGTCTTTCCGTCTCTCCATATATTTCCATGTCTCTCTATGCCTCTCCACCCATATGTTTCCATGTCTGTCCATATATTTCCATGTCTCTCCATATATTTCCATGTCTCTCCATGTCTTTCTGTCTCTCCATATATTTCCATGTCTCTCCATGTCTTTCTGTCTCTCCATATATTTCCATGTCTCTCCATGTCTTTCTGTCTCTCCATATATTTCCATGTCTCTCTATGCCTCTCCATCCATATGTTTCCATGTCTCTCCATATGTTTCCATGTCTCTCCATGTCTTTCTGTCTCTCTATATATTTCCATGTCTCTCCATGTCTTTCTGTCTCTCCATATGTTTCCATGTCTCTCCATATATTTCCATGTCTCTCCATGTCTTTCTGTCTCTCCATATGTTTCCATGTCTCTCCATATATTTCCATGTCTCGCCATGTCTTTCTGTCTCTCCATATGTTTCCATGTCTCTCCATATATTTCCATGTCTCTCCATGTCTTTCTGTCTCTCCATATATTTCCATGTCTCTCCATATATTTCCATGTCTCTCCATGTCTTTCTGTCTCTCCATATATTTCCATGTCTCTCCATGTCTTTCTGTCTCTCCATATATTTCCATGTCTCTCTATGCCTCTCCACCCATATGTTTCCATGTCTCTCCATATGTTTCCATGTCTCTCCATGTCTTTCTGTCTCTCTATATATTTCCATGTCTCCATGTCTTTCTGTCTCTCCATATGTTTCCATGTCTCTCCATATATTTCCATGTCTCTCCATGTCTTTCTGTCTCTCCATATATTTCCATGTCTCTCCATATATTTCCATGTCTCTCCATGTCTTTCTGTCTCTCCATATATTTCCATGTCTCTCCATGTCTTTCTGTCTCTCCATATATTTCCATGTCTCTCTATGCCTCTTCACCCATATGTTTCCATGTCTCTCCATATGTTTCCATGTCTCTCCATGTCTTTCTGTCTCTCTATATATTTCCATGTCTCTCCATGTCTTTCTGTCTCTCCATATGTTTCCATGTCTCTCCATATATTTCCATGTCTCTCCATGCCTCTCCACCCATATATTTCCATGTCTCTCCATGTCTTTCTGTCTCTCCATATATTTCCATGTCTCTCTATGTCTCTTTATTATCTGCTGGAGCAAAGATATCAAGGTTCATAAAAACCATATGTACCCCAGGGTCATATCACGTCACGAGACAACAGGGGGCACGGGTGGCCCAGGTGTCTAAGGCGCCGCGATTCACTGTGCAGAGTTGCGTCCCTTGGGCACGCCAGAAACCTATGATTATGGGTTCGAATCCAGGTTCGCCCTGATTATGTTTCTAGGTTTGTCAGCACCATACCCGTGCTGGTGGGTTTCACCGCAGTGGTAAACGTCCGAGACCTGCATCACTTGGGGCTTTCCTCCCACATTAAGCTGACACGCCGCGATATAACTGTAATACTGTTAAAAGCGGCGTTAAATCCAACTCACTCACTCCCTAGTACAATCAAACCGACGTCATAAAGCTGGACTATACTGAGTGCAGCGTTAAACACAAAACAATTTTAAAAAATATAATGGTGTGAAGACATGACACTTTTTTATGGATAGCAACTTCTATTGTTCTTTGTCACAACGTTTCAGAGCTACTTCTTGCTCCTTCATCAGGTGACTTATAGAGCTGATATACGCATGGGCATATCCACGACACGCCGCGATATAACTGGAATACTGTTAAAAGCGGCATTAAACCCAACTTACTCACTCACTCACTCACTCACTCACTCACTCACTCACTCGCTCACTCACTCACTCACTCACTCACTCACTCACTCGCTAGACAACAGTGTATTGTTTCCGTCATCTGGACGGCATTGTTGACGTCATTTGAATCTTATTGTGACGTGAGGTTGGAATGACTTCACACTAGAAACGATGTCATAGCTGCACATTGTTGATGTCTTTCAACAAATTGTGGTTCAGCTGCTGTCCTTATAGGTTAACAACAAAATTTGACTCTGTATGTCGACATCTTCTTTGGTAATAAATATAATATTATATTTGTGTTCATGTCATACTATGTTTATGACACTCCTGCCTAAATACCGGTATTGTACTGGAATTTAGACACTTGTGTCGTAAACAAAGTATGACATGAACACTCATATAATATTCTCTTATATGTCTCTCCATGCATCTCCACCCATATCTTTCTATGCCTTGCCATGTCTTTCAATGTCCTCTCCCACGGCTGTGAATTGGTCCCCAGCAACCCTTGCTTATCACAAAAAGATCCTGGTTAGAATAGGTCTTCAGCAACACATGCTTGTCGTAAGAGGCAACTAACAGGATCGGGTGTTCAGGCTCGCTGACTTGGATGATGCATGTCATCGTATCCCAATTACGGGAATTGATGCTCATGATGTCAATCACTGGATTGTCTTGCCCAGACTCGATTATTTACAGACCACCATCATTTAACCTGAATGTTGTGCGACGTTCAAATCAATCAAACAAACAAACAAACAAACACTCCCCTATTTGTATGTAATTTCACTTAGTTCAGTTGTTTTTACATTCTAATCATACGTGTGACTAAGTTTGTATACAGCTTGTTAAAAAAGGAGATACGCTTATTTATTTGTGATTAATTGCAACTGTCACCATATTGGTTGTGATAGGGGATATTTGAAAGTGGGCACTGCCCACACCTTTTCATGTTCAGCATTTGCCCCTGCTTCTTCAGATTCCCCAAGAGATGCTGTTGTAATGGAAGGAATCAAGCATCCAGAATTGGTACTTTTACAGCAACCTCAGTGATATTTTTCATGACCTACCAGCAGTTCACTTTGACCAGATACAGCGTTGAAAGGATACAAGTTATGTCTATTGTATCTGCTAGTTTTGGGGTCATGTTAGTCCTGCACCATGACCGTGGAATATATTTATTTTATGAAAAAATAATAATCTAGAAATGCATACAAAAACAAGTCTAGCCAGCTCAAGCTAGCTCTATTCCACATTCAGCATAGGGATTTTCTTTTTCTTTTTAGAGTCAAGAAGGATATTGTGTAATATAAGATTTCAGAGACTAAATGTTAGTCTAGGGTCATGTGAGTCACGGTAATGAACACTGTAATCCTGGAAGTATAATAAAAGAGCATGCTGTCAGTAAAAAAAAAGTTAATTTAGAAACCTTTGGGAATCATAGCATTTATTAATTTTGACCATTTTGTTAAAATTCATTTCACATTGAAAATGTGTCAAATTCTATTGTCAAGCTGCCACATTTAATTAATTCTGAGTAAATTTTTTAAGTATTGTTCCGACTTGTAGTGGCAGCCAGGAGTCATTAACTCATTGCCAGTTTGGTTTAGTAATACACTGGAAATATTACTTTTTCCGCAGCCCTCTATTTCGAAAAAAGCTTGGACTGTGAGAAGATAATGTGTGAAAACGACAAGGGTCAAAGTTTAATAGTGATCCGGCCAAAGTCAGACTGAAATATTGTGAACCAGACCTTTTACATCAAACATGGCTGATAAAATATTGGAGATTTCAAGATAAAGTACAGAGTTTGTATAAGGAAGGCAAATCGTGAGAAGACGAGTGAAATGTTATTAGTTTTCAGTGTCCATGGGGTGATTGCACATTATTCAGTATCAGGCCCAGCTAAGGCAGATATTTAGGACGTAACAGGGATGATGAGAGATAATGTTTAAGAACGTTGCTAACGCAATGCGAAGGAAACAAATTGGTTATGTTGAGTCAACATTGTAATTATCAGCATAGGGCATCTATTCAGCAATCTGGAGAAAATTGCTTTAGATGGAATTGAATATGGCATGTTGGTGTTGTATGTGCATGACATGCATGGACTTGGGAAGTCAGGTCGGCATCAAGTATTGACATAGAGCATGCTTGGCTTACTAGGTGGCTTGGTGGTAGTGTGGCGGTCTTGTTGACTGGTGTATTGGTGGTGGTCCTGTTGGTAGTGTGGCGGTCTTGTTGACTGGTGGTCTTATTGATTGGTGTGTTGGTGGTCTTGTTGATTGGTGTGTTGTTGGGTGTCTTGTTGACTGTTGTGTTGGTGGTCTTGTTGACTGGTGTGGTTTTGGTTGTCTTGTTGACTGGTATGTTGGTGGCCTTGTTGACTGGTGGTCTTATTGATTGGTGTGTTGGTGGTCTTGTTGACTGGTGTGTTGTTGGGTGTCTTGTTGACTGTTGTGTTGGTGGTCTTGTTGACTGGTGTGGTTTTGGTGGTCTTGTTGACTGGTATGTTGGTGGTCTTGTTGACTGGTCGTCTTATTGATTGGTGTGTTGGTGGTCTTGTTGACTGGTGTGTTGTTGGGTGTCTTGTTGACTGTTGTGTTGGTGGTCTTGTTGACTGGTGTGGTTTTGGTGGTCTTCTTGACTGGTTTGTTGGTGGTCTGGTTGATTGTTGTGTTGGTGGTGGTCTTGTTGACAGGTATGTTGGTGGTCTTGTTGACTGGTGGTCTTATTGATTGGTGTGTTGGTGGTGGTCTTGTTGACTGGTGTGTTGTTGGTGGTCTTGTTGACTGGTGTGTTGGTGGTGGTCTTGTTGACTAGTTTGTTGGTGGTGGTCTTGTTGACTGGTGTGTTGGTGGTGGTCTTGTTGACTGGTGTGTTGGTGGTCTTGTTGACTGTTGTGTTGGTGGTCTTGTTGGCTGGTGTGTTGGTGGTGGTCTTGTTGACTGGTGAGTTGGTGGTGGTCTTGTTGACTGGTGTGTTGTTGGTGGTCTTGTTGACTGGTGTGTTGGTGGTGGTCTTGTTTACTGGTGTGTTGTTGGTGGTCTTGTTGACTGGTGTGTTGTTGGTGGTCTTGTTGACTGGTGCATTGGTGGTCTTGTTGACTGGTGTGTTGTTGGTGATCTTGTTGACTGGTGTGTTGGTGGTGGTCTTGTTGACTGGTGTGTTGGTGGTGGTCTTGATGACTGGTGTGTTGAAGTGATCCTGTTGACTGGTGTGTTGTTGGTGGTCTTGTTGACTGGTGTGTTGGTGGTGGTCTTGTTGACTGGTGTGTTGTTGGTGGTCTTGTTGACTGTTGTGTTGGTGGTCTTGTTGACTGGTGTGTTGGTGGTTGTCTTATAGATTGGTGTGTTGGTGATGGTCTTGTTGACTGGTGTGTTGTTGGTGGTCTTGTTGACTGGTGTGTTGGTGGTGGCTTGATGACTGTTGTGTTGGTGGTCTTGTTGACTGTTGTGTTGGTGGTGGTCTTGTTGACTGGTGTGTTGTTGGTGGTCTTGTTGACTGGTCTGTTGTGGTGGTCCTGTTGACTGGTGTGTTGTTGGTGGTCTTGTTGACTGGTGTGTTGGTGGTGGTCTTGTTGACTGGTGTGTTGGTGATGGTCTTGTTGACTGATGTGTTGTTGGTGGTCTTGTTGACTGGTGTGTTGTTGGTGGTCTTGTTGACTGGTGTGTTGGTGGTCTTGTTGACTGGTGCATTGGTGGTCTTGTTGACTGGTGTGTTGTTGGTGATCTTGTTGACTGGTGTGTTGTTGGTGGTCTTGTTGACTGGTGTGTTGGTGGTGGTCTTGTTGACTGGTGCTATGGTGGTCTTGTTGACTGGTGTGTTGGTGGTGGTCTTGTTGACTGGTGTGTTGGTGGTCTTGTTGACTGTTGTGTTGGTGGTGGTCTTGTTGACTGGTGAGTTGGTGGTCTTGTTGACTGTTGTGTTGGTGGTCTTGTTGACTGGTGTGTTATTGGTGGTCTTGTTGACTGGTGTGTTGGTGGTCTTGTTGACTGTTGTGTTGGTGGTCTTGTTGACTGGTGTGTTGGTGGAACTGTTGACTTGTGTGTTGTGGTGGTCTTATTGATTGGTGTGTTGGTGGTCTTGTTGACTGGTGTGTTGGTGGTGGTCTTGTTGACTGTTGTGTTGGTGGTCTTGTTGACTGGTGTGTTGGTGGTCTTGTTGACTGGTGTGTTGGTTGTCTTGTTGACTGTTGTGTTGGTGGTCTTGTTGACTGGTGTGTTGGTGGTCTTGTTGACTGGTGTGTTGGTGGTGGTCTTGTTGACTGGTGTGTTGGTGGTCTTGTTGACTGTTGTGTTGGTGGTCTTGTTGACTGTTGTGTTGTCGGTGGTCTTGTTGACTGGTGTGTTGGTGGTCTTGTTGACTGGTGCATTGGTGGTCTTGTTGACTGGTGTGTTGGTGGTCTTGTTGACTGGTGTGTTGGTGGTCTTGTTGACTGGTGTGTTGGTGGTCTTGTTGACTGTTGTGTTGGTGGTCTTGTTGACTGGTGTGTTGGTGGTCTTGTTGACTGGTGTAAAACAATATTCTCTCAGTCACCTCTTGTACTTCTTGTCAGATCCTTCTTCTCTTTCCTTCACTTGTTACTGATAACCCCCTCCATCTTTAATTACTCCTCCACTCGTTTCTTTTCCCCCTTCTCCAACTGTCCTCCCTTTTCAACATCTCTCTTTCCACTTCTTTCTCATTTAATGGTCCAGTATATCAGCTCCTATGGTTACAAATATCACTTTGTCATTTCTAGCGCTGTAGCTTTGAAAGTTTCATGCAAGAACATAATGTCACTATTAGTTCAACAATTTAAAAGGATTCATTGATTTGTTTTGTTGCTGTCAGGATTCAGTTTCACTGCTATTGACGACATCAAACGCTGCAATATATTTGTCTTGTATCCTTTAACCTTTGACAGCTAAGAGACAAATTTCATTTTGTAAAAGGCAAGCCTTTTTAGGGATAGTGCATGAATTGGTTGGATTCAATTAAAATAGAAAAAGTGTATTCAAGTTGTGTATTTAAAGATATTGAAGCTTTGATATAAAACTGTGATGAATCTGAATCAAACACTACAATGTTGATCTGAAAGAATAAATGTTACAAATTGAACTTCTCGTTGATTGACAAGTAGAAATGTACACCAAAGTCATTGATCAGACAGCGACCAAGTAGCCAGGCGTGGAGCAACTTGCTAAATACTGGGTGGTGTTGCTTTAACAAGATTATGACCATTCGGAAATCAGATCTAGGGGGATCCATTGATTGATTGACAGGGGAATTGTTAGAGTGACTTGATGGTTGGAATGGTCAGATAGCCAGACAAAATGTTTACAACGCTTTGTTTTTCAAATTAGGGAAACTATACTCGTGGCTTTTCTTGGCAGAGAGACAGACTTACGATACTGGAATTGATCTTATTTGAGTTTCGTGTTTGATTGGGGACCTTAGACCTCCAAAGAGGACTCTTAAATTTTTGGAAATTATGCAAGTAAGATGTTTGCGCTCTTAAGAAATGACAGAAAAAAATGATGGTTGAATGGACTTTGTGACCTTCAATGAGTTCCTTCTCTACCTTTTTGTTGGTTTATTGAATGTTCTCATTACTGAGATGTGATAGAAATGGATAATCCATGTTGTTTTAGATACTGACACAAATATTTCTAATACCAACAGCATCAGTTCTCGGACTTGATATCCTACTGGAGGATGTGCATATACTGCGTTCTAGGGGTCTCGAAATAGAAGACATTGCAGGTAGGTGCGATAATATTTCTTATTAAGTTTCTGTTTTTGACCTTGAAAGGATTCTGTAACAGAAAAGGTCCCCAGTACCTCATGCTTGTGATAATAGCTGACTAAAATGAGGATGAGGTTATTGCGTTCCGTGACATGACTGGTTTTGTGTTTTTGTTCTCCGATGGCGTGGATCATTACTCCTTCTTTCAATCATTGGTTTGCCTGAGCCAGATTTGATTACCTACAGGCGGGCATGAAGTAGCTGCAATGTCACTGAGTGCAGCACAACACAACATCCACTCACTCACTCTTCTGGATTTCAAACCAGTAATACTGTGTACCTGTGAAGATCCAGGTTAGAATAGGTCTTCAGCAACCCATGTCCTTTAGACATTATAGTAGAACACATTTTTACATACAATATAATAAGATATAAGGGAAGGGTGCTGATTTGTACAGTCAGTCACCAACTTCTAGCAACAACACAGAGACCTGCCAATAATCTGATTGGCTAATTATGTGTGTCATGTGACCTCAAGGACGATCTCATGGTATCTCAGTGGGCTAACACTATATATAAATCGGCATCAGTCCAGACTAGTACAAGCACCCCCCCCCCCCCCCCCTACACACACACACACACACACACACACACACACACACACACACACACAAGTGCATGCACATCACTATATAAGTGCAATAATCTTGGGCGCGACGTTAAACCCAATTTCACCTAACCTCTGCTTGGTTTGAACGTCAAACCCCTGCTGCCTAACATCTTGCTTCTCTCAGTATTTAACTAAAATTTAGAAAAATTAAAGGAATATAATTGGTTGTTGATACACAATGGGGTGTGCCCTACGGTTAATGAATGGCTAGACAGAGGGGAATACGTAATCCTGTTGGACTGGCACACTTATGACAGTCGTAGTGCAGGGGTTGTTTTGTGGAATGTGGCTGAACCAAAACTTGGTTGCCTGGGGTAAATAACAGTTTATGAAGCTGAAGTTGAGTAGCAATGTTTGAATACCAAGATCTTCCTGCCACAAAACTATCTTAGCGGTATGACTGTAATGGAACTCCGTCATGAAGTTTTAACACAGCTTGACGGTTGTCATGAGCGGAAGACATGACTTTGTAGAACGGACGACGACACACAAGCTGGTGCTGTCTCAGGGATCTCAGGAAGTGGAGATTAAATATTCATGGAGTTACACAACTTCAGCTCCCCATGCAGGCATCATGCCTCCCAGCTGATCTCATCCCACATCAGAACACTTCCTTCTGTACTGTGCAGGTATGTGCAGGAATTGCTGGTGTTGAAGGAAAACCAGGCTCCAGCCAGTTGCCAACTTGAGCTAGTTTGGTTCAAGTTATTTTAAAAAATCACTGTTTTTCTGCCTGTTAAATCAAAATTTATGATTGCCTGGGAGATCAATCTAGCAGTTGATGAGTACCTATATCTTGATAAATGACATTAATTACAATGTCTTGACCTGTACAAGATGGACACCAGACCGTGGAGCATTGTACCCTTTAGTCAGTCACTCTGGGTGGAATGTGTCATGATCTCTGTCTTGGCCTGTACAAGATGGACACCAGACTGTGGAGCGTTGTACCCTTTAGTCAGTCACACTGTGTAGAATATGTCATGATCTTCGACTTGGCCTGTACAAGAGGGACACCAGACCGTGGAGCGTTGTACCCTTTAGTCAGTCACTCTGGGTGGAATGTGTCATGATCTTTGTCTTGGCCTGTACAAGATGGACACCAGACTGTGGAGCGTTGTACCCTTTAGTCAGTCACACTGGGTAGAATATGTCATGATCTTCGACTTGGCCTGTACAAGAGGGACACCAGACCGTGGAGCGTTGTACCCTTTAGTCAGTCACACTGGGTGTAATATGTCATGAGCTTTGTCTTGGCCTGAACTAGACGGACACCAGACCATGGAGCATTGTACCCCAAAGTCAGTCACACTGGGTAGAATATGTCATGATCTTTGTCTTGAGTCAGTGAGCTAGATGAACACCAGAGAATTGTACCCCTTTATAAACCAGTGTCACTGTATAGAATATGTCATGATCTTCGTCTTGGCCGGAAATAGATGGACATGAGAACCCCTTTAGTCAGTCATGCACTCTTGGTGGAATATGTCAGGATTTTTGTCTTGGCCTTTACGGGTCTGTCAGGTAGCCCAGTCTTGCCGAAGACCTGGGTTTGATTCCCGACATGGGTACAATGTGTAAAACCCATTTCTGGTGTACCCTGCCCTAATATTGCTGGAATATTGCTAAAAGTCGCTAAAAACATACTCATTCACTCACTCACCTGGCCTGTACAAAATGAACACCAGACTGTGGAGCATTGTACTCCTTTAATAGTCAGTCACATTGTGTAGAATATATCATGATCTTTGTCTTGGCTTGTACAAGATGGACACCAGACCGTAGAGCATTGCACTCCTTTAACAGCCAGTCACATTGTGTAGAATATGTCATGATCTTTGTCTTGGCCTGTACAAGATGGACACCAGACTGTGGAGCATTGTATTCCTTTAACAGCCAGTCACATTGTGTAGAATATGTCATAATCTTTGTCTTGGCCTGTACAAGATGGACACCAGACCGTGGAGCATTGCGCTCCTTCAATAGCCAGTCACAGTAATTGTGTAGAATATGTCATGATCTTTGTCTTGGCCTGTACAAGAGGGACACCAGACTGTGGAGCATTGTACTCCTTTAATAGTCAGTCACATTGTGTAGAATATGTCATGATCTTTGTCTTGGCCTGTACAAGAGGGACACCAGACTGTGGAGCATTGAACTCATTTAATAGTCAGTCACATTGTGTAGAATATGTCATGATCTTTGTCTTGGCTTGTACAAGATGGACACCAGACCGTGGAGCATTGTACTCCTTTAATAGTCAGTCACATTGTGTAGAATATGTCATGATCTTTGTCTTGGCCTGTACAAGATGGACACCAGACTGTGGAGCATTGTACTCCTTTAATAGTCAGTCACATTGTGTAGAATATGTCATGATCTTTGTCTTGGCCTGTACAAGATGGACACCAGACTGTGGAGCATTGTACTCCTTTAATAGTCAGTCACATTGTGTAGAATATGTCATGATCTTTGTCTTGGCCTGTACAAGAGGGACACCAGACTGTGGAGCATTGAACTCATTTAATAGTCAGTCACATTGTGTAGAATATGTCATGATCTTTGTCTTGGCTTGTACAAGATGGACACTAGACCATGGAGCATTGTACTCCTTTAATAGTCAGTCACATTGTGTAGAATATGTCATGATCTTTGTCTTGGCCTGTACAAGATGGACACCAGACCGTGGAGCATTGTACTCCTTTAATAGTCAGTCACATTGTGTAGAATATGTCATGATCTTTGTCTTGGCCTGTACAAGATGGACACCAGACTGTGGAGCATTGTACTCCTTTAATAGTCAGTCACAGTAATTGTGTAGAATATGTCATGATCTTTGTCTTGGCCTGTACAAGAGGGACACCAGACTGTGGAGCATTGAACTCATTTAATAGTCAGTCACATTGTGTAGAATATGTCATGATCTTTGTCTTGGCTTGTACAAGATGGACACCAGACCGTGGAGCATTGTACTCCTTTAATAGTCAGTCACATTGTGTAGAATATGTCATGATCTTTGTCTTGGCCTGTACAAGATGGACACCAGACTGTGGAGCATTGTACTCCTTTAATAGCCAGTCACATTGTGTAGAATATGTCATGATCTTTGTCTTGGCCTGTACAAGATGGACACCAGACCGTGGAGCATTGTACTCCTTTAATAGCAAGTCACATTGTGTAGAATATGTCATGATCTTTGTCTCTTTCCCAAAAACAAGACTCCCTCAGGTTGGATAATCTTGTTTTCTCAGAATTTGCTCTATACAAATGTTTTCGACAAACAATCGGGTCAACACAAGTGTATCGCTGTTGAAAACATTGCCTTTTAGAATTATATCAAATTCTTGATTCAATCAGCAAGGTCAAGAATCATAGATTTTATTTGAAGCGCTGATGTAATCCAGAGCTTGAACAATAGGATATAAAGTAGATAAACTCAAAATAAGGTCAATGGTGTCATGTTTTGTTAGAAAAATCAATACTTTATACTTGATCTCACATGGAACTTGGGTTATCATTTTGGAGGCAAATGTTGGACTTCTTATGCAAAAGAAATACCAGTAATTTCGTTTACTCATTCCTAGTATTGTGATTTTTTTTAGTTATTAAGGGTCAGTTCCATCAATATTTCTTCAGAGGTCTCCAAGAAGGGTTCAGTGCTTGGGAGTATGGTAGCGTCAGTACAGATACATCATGAACATGTCCAAATGAAATTATTAAAATGGGTTCCAAACATCCATCGTTCTTACAGATTTTACCAAATTGGCTCAGGCATATATGATGGTGTGTGTTGAATATTGAATAAAGCGTCTAACATGGCAGGTGCTATTTAAACATAGATGTTGTTTTTGTTGAGAATGGAGAGATTTTTAACATTGTTTTGATAAAGACTTGCATCTGCAGACTATGTTTGGAGTGGTATCAGCTGTAAAGGCTTTTAAGATATATGTTCCACAATCAAATTTTCACAATTTCATGCATTAATAAATCAGTGTTATTTAACCTCTAAATATTTGGTTCCTTTTGTTCTTAAAACATATTTTGGTTATGCAATTTGAAAACATTTGTCTAACATTTTCCTGTCTCGGTTTTGTATTTCTGTTAAACATTATGAAGGAGCAATTCTATTAGGCCATGTTGACTATTGATGAATGAGTGAGTGAATTGGGTTTAACACAACTTTTAATGACAGTGTAAGTTCTATCAGCATATGCCAGCTTAAAGTTGGATGAATCCCCAGTATGATGCAGCTGGTCTTCGATGAAACCCACCAGCACAGGTTTAGTGCAAGTGTTGTCAATGGGACAAAGCTGGATGACCAGCAGATCCTGTTAGCTAAGGGATGCAACTCTGCTTTACTTATGGAGGTTCCAACTTGCTGGCTTCAGAGGGGTGGTTGGGTAGCCTAGTGGTTAAAGTGTTTGCTCGTCATGCCGAAGAACCCCTGGTTCGATTCCCAACATGGGTACAAAGTGTGAAGCCCATTTCTCACTCACTCACTCACTCACTCACTCACTCACTCACTCACTCACTCACTCACTCACTCACTCACTCACTCACTCACTCACTCACTCACTCACTCACTCACTCACCTACCCACTCACTCACTCACTATGTACTAGGGTCTCACATCACTTCAAGTAATATTCCAGCCATATTACCATAAATACCTTCACACATTTCCCATATTGAAATCAAACCCACTTCTTCTGTGACAAGCAAACACTTTAACCACTAAACTACCCTCCCTTCCCCTAAGACTTGATTGTTCACGGTACCATATATAAGACCTTCAACCTTTCAGCTTGAAATTAATGAATTATTATCTTTTCTTAATGCTAACAGCTTGGTTATGACAGACTACAAACACAGGCCTTGTCCTGGATAGTGTAAGCAGTGTCTTCCTGACACTCCTGTAGACACATCTCGTCAATTCCACCATCAGTAATCAGCAATGCACCTGGGACAAGGCTTAATGTTATGTATATGTCCAATCATAACATCATTAGCAAGGTTTAGTAGCCACATGGCCTTGACAAAAAGCGTTAATCAGCGTCTTGAAAACAGCTCCTATAGCTATAAGGGCTTCTACGTTGTTATGACATCACTT